TATAATCACTGTGGTGGTTTGAGCAGGTATGGCCCCCATGGATTCTTATGCTTGAATGCTTGGCCCATGGGAAGTGGCAGTATTAAGAGGTGCGGCACTGTTAGTGTGTCACTGTGGAGTCAGGCTTTGAGGTCTCACATGCTCAAGCCAAACCCAATACTTGGATGCCTAAGGGACAAGATGTAGAACTCTCAGCTCCTTCTCCAGCACCATGTCTGCCTGCATGCCATTCACCATGATGATAATGAACTAAAATGTCTGAACGATAAGCTCACCCCAATTAAATGTTTCTTTTATGGGAACTGTCATGGTCGTGGAGTCTTCTCACAGCACAGACACCGTAACTAGGACAATCACTATCCAGAGGATACCTATCTAAGATTTAAAAAAAATATACTCCATAGGATTTTACCTAAAATTACATCTAAAACTCTTATAGTTATTACATTTAATGCTTCTATATATGGCTTTCTGAAAAAAAAACCAAGGGGGCCTAAATTTTATATACAAATTCTGCCTACCCCACAGAAAATATTTCACCCGTTCCTGGATTGCACAGCTCAATAATCAAAAGTTGCTACTGTCAATCAACTTTGATGAAGTGTTTTCCAACCATTGAATATTTTGACTAAACCCGTGTATAAACTAGCACACGGAGCATAGAAATATCTGTCTCTTCTGTATAAATTCTTAATTTCAGGAATAATAAATTCATTGGTATCTTGAAAAAAACCATAACAAAAATTTAGCTTGATGCTTGTAAAAATATGCTAATAGTATTAAATTATCATTACTACAGTATACTGCACATATGATTCAACTCTTGTTCAGGAATATAGGTCTATAACAAAACACTGCAATATAGAAATTTTTAAATATTGTGACGTGGTTTGCTTCCAACTGGACTGATGACCTCATCAGGATGAAAACAACCATGTGTTCAGAAGTCATCTGTAGAAACATTGAAGAACACACACCGTATGATTTCACCATCATTTGGATTAAGATGACTATGATGTATAAAACCAACTACGCAGTCCTACAAACTTCCTAGTACACTGTCCCCCTTTAGGTTTTATTGTAATTTTTTATAGACCAAACTGTCAACAGCAGGTCTCTAATACACTTTAGATTAGAATGGATTTTATATACCATTAAATTCCTAAGGTTATAATGATTATTCAAGTTGACAAAAAGCTGACAGAGAGTTGTATGTCTAACAATTTATGTGTTTAAGTATAAGTTTACCCACTTATTTCTTTGTTAACACTAGACTTCTAAAATTTTTAAATTAAAACAAACAAGATCTGTTTTATAAGTGAGGCCTAAATTCCTAAGGTCTACTCAGGCTAACAGAAACCAACTTAAAGAAATATGACTAGCATTTTTGTCTTTATGAACTAGAACTGCATTTTAAAGTTTTACTTCAATGCTAAGAGATCTTCAATTCAAAATTTGAAGGCTCAAGCTTAAGAGGGATAAAACTGTAAAATCTTCATCTTATAGAAACTACTAATTATAAATTGTGATAATTAAAACATACAAGTTAATGGTCAGTCACCTTAGAGATGATTCAATTCTTCCATGTGCTCAAAACTATGTAGCAAAACTTAGCAAAAATATACTTCATTAACGAGAACAAGTTTTAGTCTTCCATACATGTTTTCAAATAGAGCAGTAAATACAAACAAAGTTTGTGTAATGAGAAACTACAGCCATTCAGAGTGAGTCCGCTGGTGGCAGCAGGCTTCCGAGGAGGAGCTGGACAGTGAGCTCCCGGCACAACCTCAGAAGCCAGCAGCCAGCTGACTCGCCCAGTCCGGGAGCAAGAACCCGGGAGGACTGGAGTGGCAGGGGACCCAGCACCGACCACATCGCCCTGTCCCAAGCGCGGGACTCGGTGGAGCAGTCTAGGTTCGAACAGCACCTCCAAAGTGAGCTTCTTCCTGCTTCCCATGGCCCCGTGCCCACTCCTTCCACGAAGGACCTACCGGCTCCCCTGCACCTCAGACCTGCTGGGCTGCCTTGCACACCAAACCAACCCACGCTCACAGATCCAACCGGAGCAGGGTAGTAAGAAACTTCACTCCGAACTGGAGGTACGCGAACGAGTTTGGAACAGGCATAGAAGGAACTCAGAAGGCGACTGGGAGATCCTTGCTTGTGAGGTCACAATGAATTGGACTACATTTCCCATAAGTCTATGCAACTGAGTTTCCGGTAGAGGCTGACTTGAAATGTGCAATTTCTGCCGCTAGAGGGACACATGCCGCGAGTCAGGCTGCATTAAAATCCTCAGCTTCCAAACAAAGATGGTTAGATATGAGTGGAGACCTTACAGTAATGCTTATTACATATGTTAGTTATTTTTGGTCACGTTACTGTGATTTCACACAAAGATATGCTTATCATAGAAACTTACTACAGAGTAAAATATTCATTTCTACTCTTTTTTTCTTTGAGACAATTACAGGTATCTCACATGGGAAAAATCACTGCTACGGTTTTGAAATGAATCCTCAGCAGAGGCTTGGTGGGAGCCACCTAGTGTCTGCCTCTTAAGAGCAGAGGCCCATGGATCACAGCTCCAAGGCTATGGTAAACAAACAGAAAGGGATGGGGGAAAAAACCAAAATAGATTACATAATGACTTATTAACCGTGAATTTTCTTAACACTAATGAGAAAGGAACAACAGCAGAGAGACATTGGATAATAGAAAAGTCTTCTGAATGAAATCAGCTGACGAATTTCAAAGATGTGTTGACCTCACAGTGGAAGCCAGGAGATGTGGTATTGTTGGGGAAGGGGTTTTGTTCTTGTTTCAACAGAAGAAAAGGTATGGACACCATCACTGTTAATAAAAATATGGTTTGAAAAAGAGAAATCTCTTGAAAAAGAGAAATAACAGCTCATTTACAGAGGTGACAAGGTGGTAAGGAAACCTTATAAGGGTTGGGGCAGGGTTCTGTTCTTGTCTTTGCAGGAAAATACTGATCTTTGGAAAGTCAAGAGACCCTGGATATCTAGATGCCTAAAGAGAAAAAGATAATTATCCAGATAGGATCACTAAGCAAAGAGAATTATCACTTATGAGGAAAGGTCATCTGAGGGTAAGT